TATATATATATATATTACAAATATATATTAAAAATTATTACCAGAGAATCGTGTAATGATGTTTAATAATGTCTATTATATGTAATTTAATTTTTTGCATAGTATTTTCTTCCAGATATGTATGTTGTACCTAAATAAAAAAAATTAATATGTTTACAAGAATAAAATAGCATCCAAAACATATTAATTTAATAATAATACGCTAAAATATGAATCTTCTCAAATAAATACTAACGAAATCAATTTGTAAAGTGCTAATATCTTTAATTTTATTTTTAAGTACTTTGAAATGGCCACATGTATGAAACAACGCTGTTGCAATTAAAGTATCAGTTCCCAGGATAATAAGGCCACATAAGCTTGTCGCTATCATTTGCGAGAAATAAGTAATCTACGTAAATGAGAATATGTACGAATATTACAATCACAATAACAATTTTGACGAGCCCCTGAAAATAAGGATCTTACCTCATACATCGGAAAATTATAATAATATTCTGGATATAAAGCTAAAAACGGAAAATGCTTTATAGTATTATTGTTAGTGCCTTTAATCGCAGCAATAACTATTTCAATTATAGGTAGACTAAAGAAGAACATTAAAGAATTACAAATCAAAAATAAATATCCTTTAGTATATAAATATCCTTTTTTCACGTATCTGTAAGTGAATAACACAATAAAATATATGTGAATCCAAAGATGCACTTATGCATTTATAATTAAAAAAAAAACATTTATTTACATTGTATATACATCTGTGTGTTTCTCCGAAATATATGTTGTCAATATATTCCAATAATCAGTTAACATGTATTTGATAAAAGGATCCATTTTCCTCCTATTGCTTATCCAAACTAACGATTTTAATATAGCAAGTAAAATAGTGAGCAATACTGAACTATAAAAAAGTAAAAGAAATAGAATTATTTGAGTTTTTCTTAAAATATAACAAAATTGTAATATAACTGCCCGCTTTGTATCAATGCTGGGATTTTGTAATCATATACCTCGTTTCCAATACAGTAGACCGATCTTGCCAATTTTGATAAATTTGCAGTCCTTGCGGTATAACAATGGCAATCATACACGTACAACATATGATATATCTTACGATATTTGTTGGGTAAAGGCCAACAAATTTTAAAACCTTTCTGTTAATAAATACGTAATTATTGATATCCATGTTAATTTCATTAAAAGAATATACAATAAAAAATGATGCTTTGGAAGAGATGACAAGCACGAACTTTATACGTATCAGATCTATGCTGATAGATTGATATAAAGATCATATACAAGACACATTTCCGAACAAATGTTATAAATTTTTCAATATTTCAAAATGTATTGTTAATCTTGAATAATTGACATTCTATGTATTTTTAATTAAGTTTTCTTAATGATTTTACACAAGCAATTAGTAGACGTTACCGATCACTAACGAATCTTAATTAGCAAACTCTACTGGAAACATCTATCTAGAGACAAATATGAAATAGAGGCTTTATAACTCTGTTTATTAATATTTCATACTTAATGAAGCTAAGTTGAACTAGCTAATTTGTAAGATCCAATGTCTTTCATTATTGGAAGCACAAAGACAAAGTATTAAAGACTTTCCCTTCAATTTGTTTCTTCACTTAGCAAAGGATGTGCTATTTCCTTGGTTAACCATTAATAAGGCATTTTAAGAGACAGATGGTTTCCTTTGTACTTTTGTACCTTATACTTATTTATTATTTCCATACAATACATGTATATGTCACAAAGGATAATTATAGCTTCCAGGTGAACGTATACTCCATCTCGCTCTCGTAGCGACATTTGCTACAAGTGGGGTTGGACACTTACAATTCCAATATGATGCATATGACATTATTGGTAGTGAAACAAGACCGAGGACATTGTGCAAATGCAAGAACGTGTGAAATCGAAAAAACAACAAATTTATTTCCATGACAATTTGCTATGGCATGTGAATTTTTTTTATAAAAAAATCTTATTATGATTTACAAAACTTCGTCATTTGTGCACGCAGCACATATCAGTAATAAATAAAAATCGATTTTCTTCTATGTCATCTGTTTATAATATAATTTGGAACAATGTGTAATTTACAGTTAGAATACGTTTATCCATATATATACTAGCAGATATTTAATTCCATATCGTCACGAATATATTTGTCATCATGATACGTTATAAAAAGATGTTATTTAAAAGTACTTTAGTCTAACGTGCTTTATGCATCATAATTTGTATTAAATGATACAAATTAATATAGAATGTAGAGTTCCCTCTTTCAAAAGTTGTACTCACTCTCCGGACGATGTTTATACAAACACTGACACTAATACGATGAAAACATACAAAGAGTTATCATGTTTTAAGGACATTTCCTTTCTACTTGACTTTTTCCGCTTTCTTCATATTCCTGACTGGAGATCCACATTTGCTGGAAAGTACCAATCGACGCTAATATCGAACCACCAATCCATGCTCCAAATCTTCTTTCTGCACATCCGTTTGCACTGATCAATTTAAGACGCATGCTAGAGGGTATTCTCATAGATAAATCTCTATTCAAACGTTCTGGGAAACCCTACAAATGCATAGTAATTTGTCAATATATACAAGGAAAACATTTGTTTAATTTTGTATCTATTAAAATTCTACCTGAATAAATGAATTGCCACCAGTTACTACAACACTTCCGTATAGCGCTGGTCGTACATCAACGTCGCACATGCCAACACTGGTTGTGACGATATGCCCTACTCCCAACATAGTATTACCAACCATACCTCCACGCATTTGTACTATACTAGGATCAAATAATGCCTCTGGTATTCGAAATCTCTCACTTCCAAAATCCTTAAAATAATTATTTTTTATTATCTTATTTTAAGTTTGTGTGTACAAAGTTATAGACATTATATAAAATATATACCTGATGATAGCCAGTCGGGAATTCATACTGAACTGCAGGAATCGTAGAAACAATCTTCTCGTCATACGGTGTTTCTGATACCTGAAGAACTGTGGCTTGGAAATCCTGAACCACCTTCTTTACCATATAATTATGCCAAGATTTGGTAACTTCAGGCAAACCTTTCTTTTTAATCCATCGTGGTTTATCATGATCTTTAACTACTTCTTTACTACCCACCATATAAGGAGGTGACAAGTCGATATCGTTATCCTAATTTATTTTTAAAAAAATACACAAGGCTAACAGACTTAGAAGACATATTAATAAACATAAATAATATTTGCATACTTGTAAAAACTGTCTGCACTGCATACTTATGTAGTCTCCACCAAGGGGTGATTTACCAATGGCTTGTGTCAACACAAATCCATCTTGTACAGGTACTGCAGACGTATGTGTGGCACCACTATCGACGACAATACCAGTTGCTCTACCATTGGCAAACGCAGCCAAAACTGCATTTTTCACGAGAAAATAAGCTGGTACATTATATTTTTCAAACATTAGCTCAGTCAACTTTTCCCTTTTGCTACGCACATTCCATGGCGATTCAGAAAATAATACAGGATGATATTCGGCATCGGACTGAATTATTTTTGAATATGTATAATCTAAAACCTAGCAGACAAATGTATGATCAAGGTTTCAATGTAAAAAGATACATATATCGTAAGTCTTAAAAATCGCATAAAATACTGTTTATTTACCTTCTCAAAATGATCCCAATCTTCAATCATACCATCTTTCATATAACTCGCAATCTCTGTATTCTTCCGTGGAACATGAAGAATGGTGGTATCAATATAATATTTGGTCCCATTTTGCGTAATATTATTGTCAGGCTTTTTATCATCGATATCCATGGGTTCAACCTTAGTGGCTGTGCCATTGGAGTCTTCTCCTATTCCGACAACAGCCGGAATTTCTGCCTTTGGGGTATCTTCCTGAGCATAGCCCACTCTCAAGGAATGATGACCCAAGTCAAAAACCAACGCTCCTATTTCATCTCCACCATACAACATACCGCCCGACATTTTGGAAAATCAGTGAGTTCCTTTAAAAATAATATTTGTGATATAAGAAACATATTGTACTTAATATTTTAATTGTTAATGGATGCTTTCCAGCAAGAACACAGTCCCAGACACAGTGTAACACAGTGAATCATTACATCCTTGTTTGCTTACCTTATTATTAAATAAGGATGAAACGATTCACTGTATTATACAGTGTCCGACTATGTCCTTACTGGAAAGCACCCAATATCTTTTCGAATTCTTGATGGCAGTGGGTGCTTTCCAGCAAGGACAGTACACATTGGTATTTAACATTTGCATACTATTACTGGGTGCTTTCCAGCAAGGACACAGTCAGACACAGTGTAACACAGTGAATCATTATATCCTTGTTGTTTACTTATGTTAAACAAGGATGAAACGAATCACTATGTTACATTGTCTGATTGTGTCCTTGCTGGAAAGCACCCAGTAATAGTATGCAAATGTTACATACCAATGTGTACTGACAATATATGCAACAATTATGTCTTGACCATAATTTTTGTATCCACAAACACTCACCTAATCTTTTTGACTCTCTTACAAAAAGAACTCAATGAAATGGCAAGACTATTCTGCCCATGTGACAACTATACATGAACATTTATTTTTGTAACCTTGCGGTTCACGTATAATCATAACCTCAATTTGGAAGACGCTTCCAAAACCGCCGTCTAGACACGAACCATAGACGTAATATAAATAGATTTGACATGATTCCACAGCAGTCGACAGGAGTATGAACTATGAATTAAGCTGGAAACACAATAGACACAGGCAATAAGCACAGGCAACAAGGAATAACGAGCCGTCCAATCAGAGCTTTGGGATATAATATCGAACTTATACCTCAAAGCTCTGATTGGACGGCTCGTTATTCCCTGTTGCCTGTGCCTATTGCCTG